AGAGCACTGGCTGTTCTTCCAGAGGACCTGACTGATTCCTAGCAATTACATAGTGGTTCACAACTATCTGTAATGAGATCTGGTGCCCTCTTCTGGCCTGCAAGCATACAGGCAGGCAGAATGCTATATACTTAACAAATAATTAAATCTTAAAAAAATCATACACTGTAAAATTTTCAAATTAAAGGTGACTAGCTCTTTATACAGGAACTGTTTGCAGTACTTCTGTGGTATAAAAACAAGCATAAATAACTTTCCCATGATATTCAGAACACCTAAACAAAGAGTCATCATAACATTTTTGGGCTAGACATGGCAGTTTATAATCCCAAGATTGGGGCTGAAGCACTAGGATTCTGAGTTCAAGGCCATCTTAGGTTACAAAGTGAGACCCTAGCTCAAAAACAAGCAAACAAACAGAAAGCCCTAAAAATGAATTGGTGTGTTACTCTTTTAGGTACAGAGCTACTGGTCTTGGGAGAACTCTTGAAAAACTAAGTAAGGAAACTAAGTAAGCATATTATATATATTTAGATCCCAGTATAATAGACCTGCTAGGACAATTTTCCCTATGTACATTTCCCAGAATACTAGTTGCACCAAGGTTCCTGAAGCCACAAGCAGATACGTGTGCACACAAGGGGTCTAGACAGAAAACTGTGGAAATAGCACCATTTATATCTCCATGGAAGAGGGTTTTCCTGTTTTCATTTGTGACCATCAGACAACACATTTCTTTGGAAACAAACTGTTTTCTACGACATCACAAAGACTGTAAATAACATTCCTTGGAATACAACTTGGTAATGTTAGGGTGTACAAATTTTAAGTGATTGTTTTTTTAAAGGGGCCTAAATAATTTACTTAAGTAACCTTCAAAATGGGAAGGGATGTTTAATACAAAGAAGTCAAAAAGACACTTTGCTTGGACATAAAAGTCATCAGAGGCAAATCACTCTCCTGTTTTCTGTTACTCCTACTGCAGGTAAAGTCAATCGAGAAAACACTCCAATTAAGTGACTAATGTAGACTGTGTATCGACAACTCCAAGAGGTGTTTCAGAACATACACTTACACTGAGCTACCATGTACTCAGTCACACACTCCGAAAATGTGCTTGCTTCATCAAACCCAAACTGTAAACTAAAAGCCTCTTTAGTGTGTGTGTGTGTGTGTGGGGTGTGTGTGTGTGTGTGTGTGTGTGTGTGTGTGTGTGTGTGTGTGTGTGTGTGCAGAGAGATCAGACTGGTTCTCTTCCACTTTTTGTGGGTTCTGGGGATGGAAGGTTGTCAGGCCTGCATGGTAAGCGATTTACCTGCTGAGCTACTGGTCCATCCAAAACTCTAAATTTAAGATCTCCTCCCTCACTTAAGAATTTCATTTAAAAAAAAATGCACACCTGTGTCTAGCCAGCTAGTCTTTCTGTTTGCTGAGCCAGTTCATCATCAACCCCAAAGAGACACCTGCAGCAGACCAGCCACGCTTAGCTTTCTTCTGTCAGCCACTTTCATGCCGGGATCTAACTTGAAAATAAAGCATTCCTATGACTTATCTTCAAATATATTCACATTTCTTATGAGGTTTCAAGAAACCACCTTTTAAAACAAGCACCAGTTGAACAGGAGACATTCAACTAAAAACACGTGAGCAATCACTGGAATGTGTAGGCCTTTACTATGTTCATTAGCACTGGGCAAAGCCAAGGTGAAAGAGGATCAGTCATCGGACATCAGTGGCTTTCTCTTCCTCAAGGAATAAAGAAGAAACCGTATTAAAAGGTACTAAATTTAAAATACAAAGTGCTATGTGGGTGGAATTCGAGATTAAAAATACCCCCTATGTCACAAACTTGCTGACCACCCTGTGACACCAACACAGTAGATCTTTAATTTGGCTGGTTCTGAAGAACATCCACCACGAGTCCAGTCACTCCCAGCTGAGGCTAGGCACAGTGCCACACCTTCAACAGCACAGCCCTTGCACCTTCAGAAGATACGAAGCATGGGCTAGGCGGTATCTTAATCTCAGGGCCAATCTCTAGCACCCAAACAACCCCCCATTCCTTTATACCCACAAGAAAGGAAGAAATAAGTAAAGGCAGGAAAACAGCTAACTAGCAGAACATTACAAAAATGTCCAAGTAAAAAGTCTGACACAAGACTTCCATTGTAGTCCCTATAAAGGAATAAAATGGCATTTACTTCTTTAAACCTAATATTTGTAAATTGCTCTGGCTGTAATACCTGAGGTTTATTTGAAATATGACTCTAATTAATTTTAGAAAATGTCTATGGAGGGGGCATTGAGAATTAGTTGAGTGAAACGTGTGGAAAAACAATTTTATGGTGCACATTTTACTAGGGGGAAAAAAACCTGAAATACAACTGACCCTTGAACAAAAAAGACAAAGTATGATAATGTACATGATAAGAAAGCAGAGGGGCTGTGTAGGAAGAACACAGTGGTAGGAAGAACAAGACTTGTTCACTTAGCTACAAAGCAATGGTTGTTCTACGATTTACTTGCAGTTTCTTGGGCAAAGAAATTAGGGGTGTACGCTAGAGAAAAAAGAATTAATGACAGGTCTGAAGATCAAGTAAAATTCAAATAAAAGAGGCTTTCCACTGGGAAAAGCTATGAAAGAGCAAGATGGAGAGTCATTCTGGAGAAGATACAATTCAATTTTGCAGAGATGGAAGAACCTACATAACAGCAGATGATGGCATAGAAGTTAAAAGGCTCAAAGTCCTTGTAAGTCAAATATCTAGGCCAAATCAAATATCACCAATTAAAGCATCTAATACTACATGTGCACTCCAGTGATGCTCTATAAATCCTTCTAAATGAATCATCATGGGCCCTTGCTATACTTCCTCATAGAATCAGAACCAGTTTTGATCACACTGTAACTCAGTAAACTCACTCTCTTTAGAAAAGAGAGTGTACATGAAGTTGAGCAGTCACAAGGACCATCACTTTCTTTTCAGTTTACATATTCATCATGGCAACACTGGGGCATCATTTTGAAATGATGAAAAAAACTATGTTGTTGATCTATGCACACTGAATCTAAGCGGCTGTAAAACCAAGAAGCTTGACTTACCTAGATGATCCAGAAAGAGCCTACCAGCTTTAAATTCCTATACTCTCAATTACCTTTTCCAGGTCACTGTGACAAGACCAAGGGGTATTCCCACCTAACCTACGAGGAGTCAAAAATACCACTACCCTTTACTGAACATCTGCTGAGGTCCATACTTTCTAGTTCTCACTCAAAAGCTCATTACATCCCTAGGAGCCAGCACTTCATTCATTTTACTCAGAAGAGTCAGCATTCTCTCATCTGTCCAAGTCAATCAAGGGGGTTAAGCCTGAATTCAATCAGGGTCTAACTTCAAAGAAGGCTCTTAATTTGTGTGTCTGAGGCACACACACATAACAGTACGAATATAGAAGGGCTAAAGAGATGGGCTGTGACTATGATAATCGAAAGAGTCCCTGGTTTTCTAGTAACAGTAGTCTTGTTGCCATGTGGGAAGGGACGAGTGAAGCCAAATATTGGGGGAGAATGGAAAAGGGAAGAAAAGATCTGATTTTCAAACACACCAAACAGACTTGACAGCTTTCTAACCTGGTGGTGAGTCTGGCTCGATGGCAGCTTGCCTTATATGTGGTAAGGTCCTACATTCAATCCTCAGAACTCCTCTAAATAAAGAGATCAGCAACAAAGTCTACGCTTAGCAGAAGGCTTAGTTTTTTTTTTTTTTTTTTTTTTTTTTTTTTACCGTAGTAGAATTCTAGTGCTAAGTTTCTGGTCAAGTAACTTTAATTCTCTCTTCATTAGTAAAGACCTTATCCTATCTTTCAGGGTACTTTATAATCCTTCTGGATCCCCCAAACAAAGGTATGACAACTATCCAAAGTTTATCTTTAGAATGTCACACGTGGTTATTTTCTATGTATCTAAACTTATTGTTTTTTTTTTTAAATGCCATTCACAATGGTTTCCAACTGACTCTACGCAAACTTCAATAAGTGTATCCCTAATCATAAAACCAAACACTGGTTTTCCGTGCCTTAATATTTTTTAGACTGTTACAAACAGTGTCACCAAGAGAGCAGAAAAGTTCCTAGAGTGGTTAGAACGCAGATTCCCCACAGTGTGCAAGACAAGTATTGCCACATGACACATCTGGGTGAACTTGAAGAGTGGGGTCTGAACCACCAACCCTAGGACAAACGCCCGTCCTTCCAGCTGATCCGGCAGGAGCAGGTGGCTTCGTGCCCCTAGAAGATCGTTTTATTCTTAGCCACACGCCCTCGCCAACAGCTGGGTTCTAACCTCCGTCCAGCCCCCCAGAGCCGGGTTTCGGCCGGCACCGAGGCCGGCAGACAGGTGAAAGGGGAGGAGGGAGGGGCCGCGGCGGTCGGTGGACGAGCCGGGTCCCCGAAGCCCTCCTGTCACCGCGGCCCCAGGCTGCACCGCCGCGTGTGGAGCTCGCGCGTACGAGCAGGGAAAGGAAGGCGATGGGAGCGGCGTGGACGCCCGGTCCTCGCCCAGCCCGGCCCCGGTCCCGGCCCCGGCGCTGCGCTCACCGTCTCGGCTTCTGTGTGCTGGGGTCCGGCACTCTGGCCCCCCATCACTCCGCGGAGGAAATTCATCTCGTCGCTCGGCCGCCGGCTTCCCCGACCCCTCGGCCACAGAAAACACGGCCGCCCCCGCCCCCGAAGGGCCTGGCCCCCCGAGCCGGCGCTCCGCACTCGCCGGCCTCGGCCACCGCCGCCTCCGCTCCGCAGCCGCTCGGGTCCCCGGAGCCCGGAAACAGCCACCGCCACCAGCCGCGGTGCGCATGCGCGGGGACGTGGCGTTACGTGGCGGCTCGAAGGGCGAAGGCAAAAGGGGAGAGGAGGGAGCCCCGCTCCGCAGGCCACGCCCACCAGCGCCCCCCCCCGGGCACGCCCCCTCCTCCGCCCGGCGCCTCTTGCTGCTGCTGGCCGCGGTCACCCACGTGGTCGCAGCCCAGCCCAGTCGGCTCGCGAGGATCTGATTAGGCTGCGCGCTTCGGCTGCTAGGTGTTTTGTCGCCGAGCGGGACCGACTGCGAGCTGTCAAATCTGAGGGCTCGTTTTGTTGAGTCGAAAGTGAAATTTTCCTTTGGCCGACGTGACAGGTAAGGGGGGTCCGGGCCCCCTGGGAGGATTCGTTTGCTTCTTTTGCTTAAAGCGATACGAGCGTGTGGCCTTTTGATCCTCGTAAATTGCATTTCTTCACAGGGCTTTGTTTGGTGGTAAATGGGGTGCTGAAGACCCCTCATTCCATCACCACTGGAGGGCGCGTTTCTGAATTCTTGCTCCTCAACCCTACTAAAAGGAATTCCCAGGTCTAAATACCAGGTATTCTGCTCATTTTTAAGTGTGAGAAAGAACCCACACCGAACCCTGCGTTTACCTCAGTCTAGTAAGAAATTAGAAATAAATTGTTCCAGAGTGTCAGTTTGGTAGCCAGTAGCATAACCCCCCCCCCATTAACTCTCGACTTCTGCATTTTCAGTGTTTTTTACATGCAAAAATGTCATTTTTCCAGATCGGTATACTTGTTCTTTCCAAATGAGGCTTCCAAGTACACATGCTTCTGGAATAGTCTTGTAAATGCCTTGACACCGGAAGGCAGCCTAGTGAGCCAACTGACTCATGCATCTCTCGGTTTGAATTCCCTGTAGGTCTCAGATGTGACGTTTAAGATTGAACTGTCTTTCCCAGCCTCCCTCCTAAAAGAAAAGAAAACAAAACAAAAGAAAAGAAAGAGAGAAAGGCCAATGCCCAAGCATGCTCAATAGTACCTCTACCCAAATAATTCAGCCAGGAAACTGAGAAGACTTTGGCTTTCCACCTTCACATGTCCAATGTGACTGTATAATTTGTATGTGTAGACTATTTCTCAAATCCTTCCTCTCTCTCCTTGAATACTCTGCTTGTCGATATTTCTTATATTCTCATTGTACAGTGAAATTTCAGCAGTAGCTTCCTAACTAGTTTGTCTACATTCAGCTCTGGCTCCCCTCAGTCCACCCTTGGATGAGTGAGCCAAGAAGAAATATGTCAGTTTCTTATTAAAATCCTCCAGTGCTTCTCCAGTGTCGATAATGAACCCCAAACTCCTTAGTTTGGCAAACATACCTGTTAGGGTTACAGCTCCTGCCTCCCTCACGTACTCAGCATCTCTCTCTTGCCTCAGTGTGCCTTTCCCTCCTTGTGAGGCAGTCATGCTAATTCCTTAAGCCTCAACTGCAGCATCTCAGGAGAGTTCCTTAAAATCAAGATGCACATCTGTGTGCGGTCACTTTGCAGGACCTACTAACAGGACCGTTTGTATACCAGTTGCTGAGTGTTCTTTGCCCATCATAAAGGGTGATTTGTTGGGTATGTGAAGAAATTGTTAAATGAATTTGCGTGACTAGTATGCCAAGGGAGAAGGTCTATTATGCCTGTGAATTACAGAACACACACCATAAAGGCCATGGTAAGGGTTCATTTTAGTCCAAGGTCTCAAGCCTAGACACAGGGCATGGTGGGTACTGCTGCCAGAAGTACTGGGTACTGAGTATTGTCCTCTGTTTGACATTTTGCTTTAGACATTTTCCATGGAGGCATTTTGTTGCAGCCTAAAAAAAGTAACCATTACATTCTCAGCAGTCACCAAGTAAAGCCTGTAAAGAACCTCTGCTAACAGTTTCCCCTTTCCCTGAGCCTGACCTTGCCTCTTCAGGCCTACCCTAAGGGATGGGCTCTGATATGATTGGAAGGGGCATCTCTTTCTGGTATTTGGTAATGGAATACAGGACCTTGACATTTTAACAAAATTGTTTTACAGAACAAGCCTTGTTAAAATATCTTGTTTTAAACTGTGGTGGACATAGTTGTCACGACTTAGAATGTTTCCTGTCATTTGACCTGTTTTGTTTCCTAACAGTATGCCCTGGGCAGGGAGCACTGTGGGTGGTAAGGACTGATGGATGGGCAGTTGGGTGAAGAAGCTAAGGGATAAACCTTGCCTCATTCCCCAGCCTCACAATCTCACTTCTGCTCTGCTCACTACTTGGGGTCTTCAGAGGAGGTGGAGAAGGGGTGGGCAAGTTCTTATTTCTGCCTCAGGTGGGAGCAGAGGGAGCCCAAACAGGGAGCAGCCCCGAGTGGACTCCTTATTTAAGAAGAGAGTTACTTACTAATGCAGCGATGCTGGGACTTTTGTTTTTTGAGACAGGGTTTCTCTGTGACTTTGGAGCCTGTCCTGGAGCTTGCTTTGTAGACCAGGCTGGCCTCGAACTCACAGAGATCCTCCTGCCTCTGCCTCCCGAGTGCTGGAACTAAAGATGTGCGCTCACTCACATGTTTTTGACTCTGGGATTTAGGATGAGAATGGAATGCCTCAGGGAAATTTCCACAATCTAAAACTTTGAGTGGATGACACAAATCTTTCATTTCCTAAACCTTTCCTGACCAAGGTCATCTATTATAATTCATTATTTTGAAATCCCTTTTTTTGTGAAAACCAATTCCTTCAATGGTTGAGCTTGCTTTTTTTTTTTCTTTCTGGGGAGGGGGCAGGGGAACTCAGAAAAGACAATGAAATATTGCACAAGATTGTTTTATAGCTTGGAGGTGGAGGAGGGTTGTCTATGCCTTAGAATGGTGGTCCTCAACCTTCCTAATGCTGCGGCCCTTTTATACAGTTTCTCATGTGGTAGTGACCCCCAACCATAACATTACTTTTGTTGCTACTTCATAACTGTAATTTTGCTACTTATATGATTCATATGTCTGATATGGGGGATGTCTGATATGCAACCCTCATGAAAGGGTCATTTGACCCCCCAAAGGGGTCACGACCAACAAGTTGAGAGCCACTGCCTCAGAGGTATGAGTAGAAGTGATCCTCTGTGTTTGAAACACATCTCATTCAGGTTTTTTAAGCCCTGTCTTATGACTATTCATTACCATCCAATTAACCAAGCCACATACAATGAAATAAATTGATAATGAAGCAACAGTCAAAGTTCATGACTAATTGATTACAATGTCAAGTACTTGTACCCATCATTTGCTAGGTTCTGTTCAAAGGGATTTGCATTAAAAAATCCTCCTGGGCTGGAGATGTAGCTTGGTGCTTGAAGCATGCTTAGAGCTAGAAGCCAAGCTCAGGAAGTGTATGTAGCTCAAGTTGGTACAGCATTTTTAGAGCATGCTTGAAGCCCTGGTTTTCATCCCCATGACGGTATCACCTTGAGGAGGTGAAAATGGAATTGGGGATGGGAGACCAGAAGTTCAAGGTACATAGCAAATTAAGTGGGACCCCAACAGAAAACACTATGCCACAAACACATCTTCCCACACATGCAGAAGGCTTGCTTATCATTTGTGTGGCCCTGGAATTCATTACTCAGTACCACAATAATAAATTTTTTTTTTAGTTTGTTTTTTGTTTGAATGTTTTGCTGTATTTTCTGAATTAGGGTTTCACTCTATGTAACTCAGGTTAACCTTGTGTCCACATCCTGAGTGCTGGATTACAGAATGTGTACTGTCAAACCTGACCCAATAATAATTGACTCAGTCCTCCCAGCAGCAACCCAGTGTTGTTGGCTCTGCTTTAGGAATGGGAGAATAAGAGTATCGCCTTGACCAGTGGTGTCCTCCTGGGAGTTGGCAGAGATGTTAACCTGACCAGTGGTGTCCTGTAGAATTGGCAGAGATGAACATGAGCTGGCATCTGGCTCCAAATCCTGTACCTTAGCAAATCCTTTCTGAAAATGTCCTCACAGAGATATGATTTACTCAACTCCTAGATCCTTCCAATTCCATTAAATTGACAAGTTTGATCATCATAAAACAAACAAACAAAAAAGAGTTTGATTATCATAGGCTGTCATCCTGGCACTTGGGTGGTGGTGGCACGATCAGGAGTTTAAAGCCAGCCTATGCTATATAGTAAACATGAAGCCAGCTTGAGATACATCAGGTTCTGTCTCAAAACAAAGCAAAAAACCATTAGCTATCACACACAGCTGATCTAAATAGCAGAAGGGTGTATATGAAAGTTCCCTGCCACTATCTGGTCACCTAGGCAGTGACATAAGCAATTATATATTCATCCACATGCAGTTTATGTGTGTGAGCACACATGTGCACGTGTACACGCGTATGCCTATGTGAGTGTAATACTGTTTTTGATAATACAAATAACTGTATTGCATGGTATCCACTGTTCTGTATCTTTTCTCCCCCTTTGATAATCTGGAGAGTAAACCCAGAGTACTGCCCATCTAGAAAAGTGCTCACTGCCACTGAGATAGTCCTCAGCCCTGTTATTCTTGTTTAATGTTGCTGTAGCTTGGCGACTATTCTAGATCTGCCTGAAGGAAGTGTCCTCATTCTTTCTCAATATGAGATACTTTCTCTTGTCTTTGGGGTGGGGTCTCATGTATCCCAGGCTGGCCTCAAATTCACTGTGTAGTGTGAGTATCCCCCTGCATTTACCTCCCAAGTGCTGGGGTTTCAGATGTGTGCCACTATGGCATTCCCTATTCATGCAGTGCTAGGGATTGGACATGGAACCTTGTGGGTGCCAGGCAAGCACTCTACTAACAATGCTCCAGCTCCAGAAATCCAGCGCCTCGAGGCTCCTTCCAAAGTATTGTGTAGGTTCTGGGAATCCATGTTAGAGGAAGGGGCAAGAAAAAGGTTGGGATTCATTCACATCCTTCTCCAACTGACTAGATTTCTAATGCTTCCTGTTTTGGTTTAAACAAAAAGATTCAGAGGCAAAAATGTTGGACAATCACCCTTCTCAGGAGATGGAAGTGGTGACTGGGGCCAGGACTTGGAATAGTTGGGATGCTGCACATGCCCTCAAGTCCAGGCTTCTTGCCCCACCTCTCTAAAAAGGAGCAGGAATTGTTACTCACCCGCTGGGGTTGTTTCTGAGATAACCTTGATTGAAACAGGGTGAGTGCTTGCTGGCAAATTTGAGGGCGAAGACCCAGCCCATCCTTGATGTGTATTGTCATTTTCTCAAGAACTGAACTTCTGCCAGGCGGTGGTGGTGCAGGCCTTTAATCCCAGCATTAAGGAGGTTGAGGCAAGCAGATCTCTGTGAGTTCGAAGCCAGCCTGGT